GGCAATGGGGAACAGTGGCCTTTGGGGGTTCAGACTCAGCACCATTCCTCCCTGAACCCATTGGATCATGGAGAAAATTGGGGTTCTGTCAAAAACAAAGAATGGTTTCTATTACAGGTATAGATGGCTTGGGGGAAGAGCATGCTTTAAGTCTAGAAGCGTCAACAGAGCCAGCCTCTTCCTCAGGTTTACATGGTGATTCTGATCCCAGATAGGAAAGGAGTTAGATGTGAGGTAACAGGAAAACCACAGCTAGATCTTAGCAGTTTGCATGCTGATGGTCAGAATGCCCTTTTACAAAACATCCTTCAAGCCATAGTGAGGTGGTTCCTGATACATAAGAAACTAAGGCTCCAGATCCTCAAAAAAAAAAAAAAAAAAGTGACATGGGGCTGGAGAGATGGCTCAGTGGTTAAGAACACTGGCTGTTCTTGCAGAAGACCCAGTTTCAAATCCCAACACCCACATGGGGGCTAACAACTGTCAATAACTCCAGTTCCAGGGGATCTGATGCCCTCTTCTGACCTCTGCAGGCATTTCATGACATGGGTACACTTACATACATGCAGATAAGACACTCATACACATAAAATAAAAATAATACATAAAAAAATTTAAGTGACATCAACATAATATCCCTTGCACTGTGATTTTGACATGCCCCACCTTTGTCAGCTTTTCTGGAAGATCATGGGAAGAAATATCCTAAAAGGGAGGTGCAGTCCACATGATGGGGGAGGAAAAAGAGTTCCCGTACTCCACGAATGTGCCATCTACCACATAAATATTCATAAAAATTTTTCTAGGGCCAGTGTGGTGGCACATGCCTTTAATCTCAGCACTCAGGAGATAGAGGCAGGCAGATTTCTGAGAAATCAAGGCCAGCCTGGCCTACATAGTGAGTTCCAGATCAGCTGGGGCTACAGGGAGATTCTATCTCAAAACAACAACAACCAAAAAAAAAAAATTCTGAAATCTGTAAGACAGACCCACTGGTTGGTTCTCTACCCTTGGGACAGCCCACTGCAAACTCTTTGGACTATCTGCTTTGCTAAGGGAACTTCTGCTTAGAAGGAACCTCCCTAACAATACTTCACATTCACCTTGGAAGCAGCCAAGGTTGAATAAGAAATATAGGCTGTGCAAACATGAGCACCTGAGTTCAAGGTCCCCAGAACCCATGTAAAGTCAAGCGAGATGGTACATGTCTGTAACCCCAGTGCTCATACAGAGAGATGGGAGGCAGAGATAGGAAAAAAATTCCTATAAGCTTCCTGGTCCTCTAGAACAGATACAGACCAGCCTTGAGAGGCTGAGAACATGTGGTCTGATGACACCTGTCTTCTACCAGCAGCCAGCCCAACACTACATAATATAAGTGAAGCTACCTAGGAGTACCAGGCCCCCAAGCCCCCTGACAATCACATGTGGTTAAACACACATGAGCACACTAAGGAAAATCAAATGGGTCCATCCAGACAAGGAGCCACACCCAGCCAAAGTCTGGGCTCACTCACTCACCACTGCGCACCACAAGACAGCCCTTTTCAGGGTCACTTTCATTCCCACTGACCTTTGTTAATGTGGTTTTTGGTTTTTGGAGAAAGTCTCACCTCATAGCCAGGCTAGCCTGAAACTCATTATGTAGACCAGGCCGACCTCAAACTGGTAATCCTCTACCTCAGCCTCCCATGTACTAAGAAGACAGGCATGAACTAATACTCCCAAGCTGACAAACACACACACACACACACACACACACACACACACACACACACACATACACACACACGTCCTGGTTTGCTTTCTGTTGCTGTGATGAAATACTGACGAAACCCAGCTTGGTGAGGAAAGTTTACTTCAATTTACTAACCACAGTCCACACTGAGGGAAGACAAGGCAGGAACCGAAGGAAAAACCACGGACTGCTAACTGGCTTGCTTCCCCAGCCTTGCTCAGCTCCCTTTCTTAGACAGCCCAGGCCCACCTACCCAGAAACAGCACCTCCCACAGTGTGCTGGGTCCTCCTATACCAATTAGCAATCAAGAACACAACTCAAAAGAAGTGCCCACAAATCAATCTGATCCAGGTGATTCTTCAGATGAGGCTCTTCTTCTCACGTGTCAAGTGGAGAACTAAGATTAGTCATCACATACACAGTGACATGGAAAAATGTTCAAGACCTATTTGGAAAAATATATAAAAAATAACAAGGACTGGAAAGATGGCTCTCAGTGGCCAAGAACACAAACTGCTCTTGCAGAGGACCCAGGTTTGGTTCCTAGTACTTAAGTCAGGCAGCTCACAACCACCTGTAACTCCAGCTCCAGGGGATCTGGCATCCTCTTCTGACCTCCATAGACATACACACACACACACACACACACACACACACACACACACACACACACACACACCAGAAAATAAATAAGGGCCAAGCATGGTGGTACAGGCCTTTAATTCTAGCACTTGGGAGGCAAAAGATCTCTGTGAGATTGAAGCCAGCCTGGTCTACATAGTGAGTTCCAGGCC